TGCTGAAGGTGTGCATGCAGGCATGCAGTATGATGGGGCCACAAGCACCATGAGCCGCCTGAATATTGGCCACTCAACAAAGGAGAAGGGCTAGCCATCCAGAGCAAGTATCTCCCCAATGCTCTGGGTGACCTCGCTCGCCTTTGAAATGTGCCCCCCTTTCCCTCTGCCTTTCTCCCACTGGTCCAGGGTGGCCTGCCCCTGCTCCTGGGGGATGGGGCTTTGGAGAAAGAGGGGGATTTCCCTTTGGGCACACTCCCACTGGTGCCAGGCTGAGGAGGAGCAAGGGCAAGGAGCCGATGCCTCCTGAGATGCATCAGCATCCCCAGGGTGCTGAAGTGTTTCACCTCCTTGCCCCAGCTGGTCTTGCATCAGCAGTTCAGGAAGATAGCATATGTGGGATTATCTGCCACCTCAAAATGAGCCCACACTACACTACCCCCTCACTTCTGGGGTGCAGGTGCGGATCCTCCCTTATCCCCCTCCTCAGCAGGCAGAGGCACAACAGGGCAAGCTGAGGCACCTTCCCCCACAACACTGCCTTCCAGAAAAGGAGACCTAGCTCTAGGGGAACTTTGAGGGGTGCATAGCACAAACTCAGATTCCCCCTCCTTCCCCAGAACTTCTCTGGCTATGGCATTCAGCTCCACTGCTTCCAGATCCAGATCCTCCACTGGAAGGCTCAGGCTGGGAACTGAAATTGGGGTGGAAGAGACTGTCATGCTGGTGCTTGTCAAGCTTATGGTGCTGGGGGTTATTATATTGCTGGTGTTAGTGGAGGTGGGGCAGGTGCAGACACTGCTCCCATGTTCTTGCTCCCATAGCAGCAGAAGCCTCATGGTTGCTAGGGGAAAGGGTGTGTCTGCTTGGTACGGGGAAGGGGGGGACTTGCAGCTCTCCCTCTGCCCCCATCCCCACCCCCCCACCAGAGGGCTGGGCACCTGCCTTTCCAGCACGCTTCATGTTTGGTGTGCTAGAAAATGTGTGTCTGTGTGTATACAACAAAAGCTGTGTTAACTGGCACCTTACAAGCCGGCGTGCTCTGTTAACCGGCATGCTGGCTTTTAAGGGCTTATAACGGAAAAATGAAACCGGAAGTGCCTACCGTGGCACTTCCATTTTCATGGAGCCCTCATGACCTGGGGGAAAGCAGCCTGCGCTGCCAAGCCCCCATGGCCCGGGGGTCACAGCAGGCTGCGTGGGTCCCCCTTGCCTGTCCCTCAGGGTCCACAGGACCTGCGGGAGGGGCGGTGATGCAGCAGGAGGGGCAGCAATGGAGTGGGAGGGGTGGCAACACCCCAGATGTGGTGAGACAGGCAGCGGCCCAAACAGGCAAAGATCCCGGTTCGGGCCACTCAGTTATCCGGCATAGTTTGTTATCCAGCACCCTCCATTCCCCGTGGGTGCCGGATAACAAATCTTTTACTGTATATGTGTAGTGCTTTTCTGCACAGTGATGAGACCGCTAGGCAAAGCAGAGCTTTCTTTTTGTTTAGGATGAAACCCCCCCCACAAGATAACAGGATTTTTCATTTTTCCAGTAACTCACTGGAGCACTGGATAAACAGTGTGTGCACTCCCCATAAAAAATAGCTTCAGCCACAGGTCTGAGAATGCTGAATAGTTTTGACTTACAAATTAAATGTTCACAACAGTTTCCTTCTAAAATAAAAAGTAGTGATAAATATTCAGAAACCTTACATTTTCACTTTTTTCTGCTATCCAAAGCAACTAAGGTAGTATTATTATTTGGTACTAATTTTTTTGCTTGAAAATGTCAGCATTTTAAAACAACTCTGTTTTTATTGCATTTTTGTTTAGCTGTGGCTTATGAAAACATGGTTCACAAAAATGAGGTTTGTTTGCAATCAGACTTGGAATGAATCATAATTAAAGCTGGATGCAAAATACTTAGAAGTGAATTGAATTATTCCCTATGATTTAATGGGCCCATAATCAGACTCCATATTATGCAACAACATTCATCTAATTTATTCACCCCATCCAGAAGTACCTGACTTCATTTGTTTTTCCCAATAGTTTGATGCAGATAGAGATGAAGAGGAAGTGTTCTATGACATAAGTTTGGCTGTCGACAATAAGATATTTACTCACAAAGAGGCCATGGCAGGTAAGTTACTGTACAAGTATAAAGAACTTCTTACTTCCAATAAAGTGTAGTAGAGATGTCTGTTTTTCATACCTCTCAAATATGGATAAACATACAACAGCAAACTCTTGAACAACATACGCAAACAGCTAAAATTCTGTTGGCATTTGAAAGCTTCATGAAAGCCTACAACAGGTCTTATTTTCCCCACATTCTGACATAGTCAGAATACAATTTGGAATAAAAAAATGAATAAAAATGTACCAGAAAGAGGAATTTAGCACCAGCAAATTTCTTATTGAAAGTGGCAGTAAAACCTTTCAGCACAATATGTCTGCCCCTTGCAAAACAAAGAGTTCTTACTATTTCTCATCCCTTCTGTGAATCACTTTTTGCATAAGCAGCTTTGAATGCAAGCTCTGATGGTCAGTTCTTGGATATAATGCCCCCCCAAAAATGGTTCTGTTTTTTGGTAAGTAGTCTTTGGTAGTCTTCAAGTCTCTTCAGGTTGATGTCTCATTTATTAAGGACCATGAAAGGACAGAACGGGCTTCTTTCCAGAGCAGAACAAGAACACGTACATTAACATTTTGCTGTGCTTCCATTGTCACATCTTATCAGGATGGCTACATAATTATGAGACGAACAAAGTAAGGAGTGTACTAAGCTAACATTTCATTTATATACAAAAAGAAATGGACATTTAGGGGCCTGGACCCATGATTTTTTGCAACTGTTAGAACTGTGATTTCAGGTCCAGGTGGTCAGTATTTTGTAGAACGAGTCCCCTAGTCCTAACCAACGAATTAAACTTTTAGTACTTATGACCACTTAGTGTCATTGGTTCAAAATCTATACACTGTAATAGGCTATATAGTACAGCAGGGTTTTTTTAAAGAAAAGTCTTATTTGCTCCCATTTGAATGGTTTCAAAGAAAGAGGCAGAAAGGGGCAAGGACTACCAAAAACATTGTTTTCATAGCTCAAAAACAAAGCAGGCAAAGCACCTAATGAGAAAAGTGCCCCTCAATAATTTCATGGTTTCACACTAGAATCCCTAGCTGCCAGATAAATCAGATAGGTTGTGAGATTACTTTCCACTGTCTTGCAAAATGGCACAAAAATGCCAGCATGGGATAATTCCTTGTATAAATTGCCAAGCTTATTAAAAACAAACTAAATGTAGAGTAAACCACATAACTGAACCATCCTTTGTTGAAGGAAAAACTTGCCTGCCATAAATTAAGTAAATAAGATAGCTTTACTTGTAATCAAAAATGATCTTCTGGGAGTTGTCAAGAAAAAAAGCATTGATTAAGCAGAAAGAAATCTGGTAGAAGTAACAAATCTATTAGCTCCTTTCAGCAAAGATGGGGATTCATTTCTGTCTTACACACAGACAGAAATGTAAATTCTCCAGCTGAATAATTTAACCTATAAAAAGAAATTGCTAGCAAGTCTGTCTGTTAGAGTTAGCAACCACTACAGCAGCTGTGGCATAAAAATCAAAGATCTGCACAACGTACAGATAGTCACACAAGTACAGTACATGGTAGCTAGGCACAAAAATCAACCACGGTGGTCCTCGGTTCAAAAAGAAGATAAAGCTTATTTGGTAGAGAGAAGAATGCTGAAAATAGTCCTACCAAAAAAAAGTTTCTAATAATAAGCTTACAGAGACAACTTACAAAGCTTTCTCGAGTCAGTGATCTGATTCCCATTCCTTTATGCTTAGCCTTACACACAAAGTGAAGACATTAGCTCCAAATCTTCTATTGCATAATGATACTATAAGCTAACACATGGAGTTAAATTGTACCTACCTGTGACCCAAGAATTCAGAAAATAAACATAGGAAAAAAAATAAGTAGTACATAAGATCAAATGCTGACAACACTTAAAAGGTAAATAATTTGTACAAAATCAACAACGATCATGAATGTGATCTAGCACTTACAAGCCTGAGTCTACTTTTTTTTTTTAAATTATCCCCAAAGTAAAATACAGTTATCAGAAAACTCAAAAACTTTTTCCACCAAACATTTTTGCCCAAAGTGTGTTTCTGCACAAGCCCCTAGTTCTGGTTTACTTATGGAGCAATAAGTTTATGCAACAAAAATTGCATTCCAAGGCTGTTTACACATGGGGAGACAAGAGCCTAATGTGTTGGGAACTACTTATATCAGTCTGACACAGCAAAGTTTTAAAGAACTCGCATAATGGTTATCAGCCTATTCTGGATGTGAGATCTTTGTGGGAGATCCCAGAAAGCACAAGGTGAGATTGTCACCAACAAAGTAATCTCTATTCAGTGTTTTTACAGGCACCATAGATTCAGATTGCCAAAATTTCATATATGAGGGAGGCAGCAGATAGCTTTGCTGCTCCTCCAAGTGCTCATCAATAGTTGAGAATGAGCACTGTGATATATGCTGAGAAGGATTTTTGCCTTTAGCCTTTCTTGTTCCATAGCACAGGGACCTTGTAATATGGCTTCATTCTCCTTCTGAATAGGCATTTAAAATGAGGTAATCTGGTTACCAAATTAAAAATAACTTTGTGTCCATTAGGATTAACATGGTGCATCTACATGAGACATTTACTGCAGCTGGCTAATTAGCTCCACAGTAAATGTCTCATGTCTACATGTGCAGTGCTAATATGCAGGAGTGAACTACTTAAGTCTGCAGCAGGATAGTATTTGTAAATACTCTGCAGCAATGCATGTGTAGATGCTGGAGGGGCTGGCTAGGGCATGAGGCTGCTTCAGTGCAGGGGCTTCCTGCCAGCTAGCCCTGTACTGGAGCACCCTCATGCCCCAGCCAGCCCCTCCACAGCATGTTCAGCTGAGTCAGATCAACCCCATGCTGGGAGGCTGACCCACCCTGGTCCCCTGCCAGCCAGGGCTGCTCCAACCCAGCTCAATGTGCTGTGGTCCTAGGTGCACATGTAAATGCAGCACCGGAAGCAATAAACTCTGGCGTAAACTGTGCCGGAGTTTATTCAGTTGAATTAATTGCATGTGTTGATGCATCCATAAAATAACAATCAAATTAAATGTTCTTTGCTTGTTTAAGAGACATTTCTAAAGAAAAAATATTTAGCCCCAGTTCAGTTGGTCTTTTAAACCTGTTAACAACAACGGAGATGAAATGTCTAAGCACACTTAGTTCTTTATGTCATCATAATTGACAAACCAGAATTGTGTTCCTCTTATAAGATGCATTTGCAACCAACTATGCAACAAATACTTAGAGAAGAAAAAAAAAAGAAACTGCTGTGTGTTTTTTGTGGGTTATAATGATATTCTTCTTCACTGTTGCCTTTCATGATATATTAAGGCTGTTGCCAAGGACAACAACCTGTCATGAAATTCCACTGTAGAAGGTTGCAGTAAGGTGTGTATTAGAAGCATCTTACTGAAAGCAAAAATGAAACTGCTATCATTCTAGGGCCAAATCAGTCCTTTAATAAATTGATTTTTATTACAGTATGTTCCTCTTGAAGATTGTTTCACAAGTGTTACTCCAGCTCAAAATGTTAATATTTAAGATTTATTAAAAGGTTTTTAGACAATTTTTTATGCAACTTCTATGTAAAAATATAAAAAGATGGTTTATTGTGTTAAGTTTAACAGGTTTGCCTACAGGTTAAAAAATACAAACACAAACAGTTCAAAGAGCCTGCTTAACCAATTTGCATCAATGTAAATGTAAGGAGCTGGCAAGCATCATAGCTCAGCCCCTGGCACGGCTCTTCGAGAACTCCTGGCACTCTAGTGAAGTGCCCAAAGATTGGAAGAAGGCCAATGTGGTGCCTTTTTTCAAGAAAGGGAGAAAAGTGCATCCAGCAAACTATAGGCCCATCAGCCTGACCTCTATCCTGGGGAAGGTCTTGGAAAAGATTATCAAGGAGGCCATTCTTAACAGGCTAGCTGATGGCAACATCCTGAGGGAAAGCCAGCACGGGTTTGTTGCGGGTAGGTCTTGCTTGACCAATCTCATTTCCTTTTATGACCAGGTGACCTATCACCTGGACAAGGGGGAAGAGATTGATGTCATATATCTCGACTTTAAAAAAGCCTTTAATCTGGTATCCCATGATCACCTCTTGGCAAAACTGGCTAACTGCGGCCTCAACCTCACCACGATCCGCTAGCTGGGGAATTGGCTCCACAGCAGGACCCAGAGGGTGATGGTTGATGGAAGTCAATTGTCATGGTGCCCTGTGACCAGTGGGGTGCCTCAAGGCTCTGTCCTAGGGCCTATACTGTTTAACATCTTCATCAATGATGTAGACATTGGTGTCAGAAGCAGACTGGCCAAGTTTGCCAACGACACCAAACTCTGGGGTAAAGCACCCATACCTGAGGACAGGAGGGTGATCCAGGCAGATCTTGACAGGCTCATGAAATGGGCAGATGAGAACCTGATGGTGTTCAACACCAAAAAATGCAAGGTTCTCCACCTTTGGAGGAAAAACCTGCAGCACGCTTATAGGCTCAGCAGTGCTATGGTGGTTAGTACTACAGATGAAAGGGACTTGGGGGTCATGTTTAACCACAAGATGAACATGAGCCTTCAATGTGATGCTGCAGCTACTAAAGTGAGCAAAACCCTGGCTTGCATCCATAGATGGTTCTCAAGCAAATCCCAGGACGTCATTCTCCTGTTGTACTCAGCCTTGGTGGGGCCGCAGCTGGAGTACTGTGTCCAGTTTTGGGCTCCAAAATTCAAAAAGGATGTGGAGAAGCTTGAGAGAGTGCAGAGGAGAGCCACGCGCATGATCAGAGGTCAGGAAAACAGACCTTATGATAAGAGGCTGAGAGCTATGGGACTCTTCAGCCTGGAAAAGCGT